TACGAGCTCTTTTTTTCTTTGTTTTCTCATTTTCAGCGCGTAATTGCTTGTTTTCTTGCTCAGATAATATGCCTTGATGCATCGCGATTTGGCAGCCTTTAATAAGCTGATTTAGCGCAGTTTTTGAGGGTGTTGGGGGGCTGTTTGAGCGTTGTTTTAGGAAGTCTTTGATTAATGAGGCTTGCTTCAATAGCTCTTTGACATTTGCAGGTGTTTTGGGGCTGAAGATGCTTGATCGACTGGTAGGGCGGCTTCCCGGGGGGGTAGGTGTATGAAGCTGAATATCAAGTTTTGATATCACTCGATTGGCATCAAGTGGTACTAAACCAGCCGCTGCAAAGCTATTTTGAATTGTGACTGATTTGAATGCCTCTACACGCGCGGGTGGATATGCCATAAGAAAATCAAGCTTATCAATGTGGTTAAAACCAAGCCGCTGCTTTTGATCAACCATGGTACCGTACGCGTTTTTAAGCGGTGAAAAACAACCAATATCAAGAGGCTGTAAAAGATGTGATGAATGTGGTGGCATACAGATTGATATGATATTGTTTTGAGCACAGATTTGGTCGAATTGGGGGGTCAAATGACTACCATGGCCATCAAGGATTAGAAGTCGATATTTGCCTTTTGTATGACTGTTTGTGGCTGGAATAAAGGTTTTTTCTAGCCATCGAAGGCCAATTTCATCCGTAGTCCATCCATTTAGGCTAACTTCAAACCACCAATCCCTAGGGAGCTCTTCAAACCAAGCTTGTTGATATTGCTTCCCTTTGAAGATTATGACTGGTGGAAGCACCCACCCACTTGCACCAATTGATTCCACCACAGTCACCCACTCACGATTCCCTGGTTGTAGTACTGAACGCCGGCCATAGTACTCTGATCAAGTAATCACTCTTGCAGTAGATGTGAGGCCCATTGCAAAGCCAGTTTCATCAAAGTTGTAGATATCTTCATTGAGGATGCCATACTGCTGAATTGTAGCTTGTATAGCATCAAACCACTCTTGAATAACCTTTGGATCCTCTTGTTTTGCACGTTGGTAGTCATACCTTCAAGAGAATCGTGTTTGGAGCTCTGGATGGCGTCGTACAAAGATTGATACCCAGTTCTTGCCAACAGTATCAGTACCCTGAGCTGCAAGCAATAAATTGGCCATTTCTTGCACCATTGTAGGCCGAGGCGCTGCTCCACGTAGATCCATTGAGAATATCCATTTAACAAGCAATTCCTCTTCAACTTCTGTGAGTTTATGGTTGTTGGCGCGTTTTTTCAATGTGAAATTGGTGGCCATTAAGGCGATTGGAAAAGGTGGAACGTGGTATATTAAATCGACATGCTGTTTCACGGATTGAGCTGATTTCTCCTTTTTTAAAAGCTTCTATAGCTAATAAGATGCGTCCCTCTTGTTCCTGCGAGTTTCGGTTCGATCGGGAACGATTTGGTGGCATGGTGGGTGGTTAAAGATGGGAGAATGCATAGAGACGCCAAAAAATGGATGGGTGGCCGGGTGGCCCGGGTGGCCGGGTGGCTCGGGAATTACGTTAGTAGCTTCGCCTTCGTATTAAGGCACCGGGACTGTGGAAGAGACGTTTTCCGCTCGCGCCTTCTCGTTAAATATTGACTATAGATAGCCAAAGGAACATACTGTGCTCGCCACCTTACGTTCCCTTCCACTTGAACAGATTGAGAGATGAAGCACAAAAATAGCTATAACTCCTCAATTGCTAGCCTGCATGGCAAAAATGACCTTGTGTACTTTCGCTTCTTGCACCTACAACACTAACACACCACTCAAGTAATGCATTGAAACCTTGACCAGGGCCTTTCTCATAGCGTCACCAGTTCCGCTTGATAAAAGCCTTGATTTCAGCAAAGAATTCTTCAAATGGATTCAAATCTGATGAGTACGGTGGCAAACAAACATACAAACCTTAGCATCAGCATCAGCACACAATTGTATGATCTTCTCAAGTTGAAGAAGCTGCTAGATGAGATTGCCAAAGACAGAAGCGTCAGTTGAACCCTGAAATACACAGGAGAGGACAATCCCATCTTGGGCATAAGCAGGCAGTATTTGATACTGTTGGTCGCGATGGAATTGGGAGACCGAAGGAGCACTACAACCAGAGGCGACCAAGCCATCTGCCTGAAGTCTATCTGTCTGTCACATCCAGGCTCACAAACAAAGACGAGATGCTCTGAGTAGAACTCTGAGATATTGTGAAAGTAGACATCCTGTAAGTCTGCATTGGATTCTCTAGCTCTCTGCTGGGTGGTCTTTTTGGACCAACCTCTGAAGGCTAGAGCCCTGCTAATGCTGGACTTTGTTACCTGTATCTGGAATTCATCCCACAGAAAGACTGCCGTCTCATCCAGGTATAAGCCAGGCTTTTCAAGCAGGTGCTCACAAAGGGCATCTAACATAAGGGGCGCGATAATCCGCCATTGGCCACGTGGGTTGGCTGTGCTTTGGCGCTGCCATATAGCCGAAGATGCGAGCGGATATGTTTAATAGATTGTTTGCTGCAGCCAGCCGCGTCTGCTATTTGGGATGCACTTAGTGGTGTATCACTATGTATCATGTCACGGATAAGATGAAAAGTTGAGAGAGCTAGCCTGGGAGCCACTTGTACACAGTGAAAGTAGATTATTTCTGATCTCGATGTCCAGCAGGCAGTGAGGGCTACCAAAGTTCGACATATGCCTTTGGCATAGTACCGCACGTCAGTTACATTATTATTTGGTACCCTACAACCAAACTATCACTTTTGGGATCAGGAGATATTCTGGGAGTAACTAAACAAGACCTATATGGAGGACTAGCCGAACGGAAGAGGTATATTGCCTAGCGAGAGCGTCTAGATAGATGATGTTGAACGAAATAGCAACAAAAGTCCCATTTGAGACTAGCGTCGAGGGGCATGAAATCCGTGGCCTGGCGTGGAGGGAAAGCCTGTGGCCGTGGGAATACGCTCACCTGATGCCAAGATGGGAATTGGTTAGCAGGACTCCTAAAACGGCCGCCGAAGTAGCCTTTTTCGGCCACCTGCTAACCGTCACATCAGTAAATGGAGCTGTATTTAATGCTCTTTCTATGAATTGAAAGGAACTGAATATGTTATAAAGTTCTGGAGCTAACCTCTGCTTGTATACAATGGTAGAAGCTGGTATACCAGTTTTTAGGTCCTGTCAATGTGTTATTGTTGAGATATTGAGGTCTAGTGGATTATGTTATGCATAAATGGGCCGAAGCGCTGCGATTGGATTTAAAAAATGACTCAAAGCTCGTATTAACTAGATCGGTCACAAAAGCCGGGGCCAAAGAGAAGGGAGACAAGGCTGAGTTCATGCGGCTCAACTAGTGCGATATCGACTGTCTCAGGCCTCTATTTTCCACTCACGACTAACTTCCTAAGACATTCAACCATCATCAACCCAAGGTCCATTATGTGTTCTCTATTCGATTCTGAGAGTAATGATTCCGTCTTGGTTGGCCCGGGAGACATTCGCGACTTCAACTCAGACAACATTCTTCCACTGCCAGCTGCAGACCTGGTCAAGATCAGACAATGGCTCCAGCCAACTGCGTATGATCTGGAACGAAGTGAATATTCCAGACATCGCGCATCGCATCTAGTGGGGACGGGCAAATGGCTCACTTCCATGAAGACATATCAGCAGTGGCACTCCGGCGATAATGGACTCCTATGGATCAAAGGCATCCCCGGCTCGGGAAAGTCCGTCATAGCTGCCTCGATTATCGACCAACTGCGCAAGGAAGAAGTTCCAGTCATATATTTCTTCTTCCGACAAATCATTGATGCAAACCATAAGCCTATCACCGCGTTGCGTGACTGGCTGTGCCAAATTCTGAATTACAGCCCTCCACTCCAGGTCAAACTGAAGGAGTACATTGATAACCAGCGGTCAATTGAGAGTCTCTCTCCGAGTGACATTTGGAAAGACCTCAAGCTGGCCCTAGAGTCATTCCCCAAGGCTTATTGCGTCACGGATGCCTTGGATGAGATGGACGAGGGGAATGACTGGTTTCTCCATTCCTTGGTAGAGCTGGGCCAGTGGCGCCCTTCAAATGTCAAATTCTTGATCACTTCACGTCCGGTAGCCTCTGTGGAGGCTCCTTTGCGAACATTCCCCGTTCTCCAGATTCGATTAGAAGAGCGACTGGTAGATCTCGATATTGCCACCTACGTCCAGCACAAGCTTCGGAACTCGCCTATCCCCAAAGAGCACTGGAATATCATAGAGGAATCGATTCCCGGTCGCGCGAATGGCCTGTTCTTATATGCAAGGCTTTCGATGGATGCGTTCCTTGAACCGGGTGCTGATGTGCACGAGGTCCTCAAAGCTCTGCCTACTGACCTCAACGTGATGTATAATGGATTGTTACGGGAACATGCGAAGCGCTCAAATGTATCTGATGAAATCCAGCTTCTCGTCCTGCAGTTTGTTACTCATGCAACACGCCCTCTACGTCTTCTTGAGATAGCCGAAGTGATGAATACTGTACACTTTTCAAGTGGCAGCCACAGCCTAAAAGAGACCAAAGAGCTGGTTAGAGCTGCTTGCGGCCCACTTCTGGAGATTCTGCCGGACGAGACGGTCTCGGTGGTTCACCACTCATTCACCGAGTTTCTCAAGGGATTCACCCGATCCAATGACTCGGACGATTCCGCATATCCGGTTCTCCATTCTGGGTCAACGAATCAATGTCTTGCTGTCGCATGCTTGAATTACCTCAGATCTGGATGTCTCGACAACCAGAGGGTCAAGAGAAGCGACAATGATGAATTCTACTATCCTAAAAAGGCAGAGCAAAGTGAACTGAGGCTGCAATTCCCATTCTTAGGATACGCCGCAAACAATTGGTACAAACACACCCGGCGCGCAGCAAGTGCCGGTGCAAACATGTCCCACGTCTACGACCTGCTTGACACATTCTTTGCGGAAAAGCATAGATATAATGTGTGGCTGGACATTGCCTGGCCCACTTCGACTATTGAAGGTGTCACACCGTTTCATGTTGCTGCCCGGACTGGATTGGCTCAGTACATAGCGCACTTGCTACAGACGGGAGACGTCGGTATAGAGGCACGGGACTGTAACCACAACACGCCTCTGTATTGGGCTGCAACTCATGGTCACACAGAAGCTGTCCAGGTTCTTCTTGACAACGGGGCCGACCCTGACGCGGAGCAAAATCAGGGCCTGAGACCGCTGCATCAAGCCGCCAGCAATAACCGTGCCGAGGTTGTTGAGGTATTGCTCGCTGCCAGAGTTGACCCACTTACTCCCAAGACCAGAGGTACACCCGGAAATTGGTGTGGGAATGCGCCGACATCATACGGACACACGCCTCTAATGTACGCATGCCATTATGGCCATGTCAAGACTGTGGCCAAGTTTTTACCATTCTTGAAAGATGTTGAAATCTGCCATCGAGCTCTTAGTTGGGCAGCAGACAAAAGTCGTGCGGCAATTGTGGATTTGATCCTCCACCATTCTGGCGTGGATGCCAATGCAAAGTGGCGCGGAGACACTGCCCTTTTCAGAGCGTGCAAAGCCAGAGACTTTAAGACAATTGATGTGTTGTTGAAAGCAGGAGCGGACCCAAACATATTTTGCGACAATGCTGAAGATGAGTTTGCTGGAATCTCGTGTATATTTTTCGACCAAGAACCTCGCCGACGCCAGGAACCAAGAGGGTTCACAGCGCTACACTCTCTGTGCGAAACTAACGGATATTCGAAGTCAATCCCGTCAGAGTGTGTAGAGGTTTTGCTCAACGCGGGCGCTGATGTCCATGTGAAGACTCCCGATGGATCGACAGCTTTGCATTATGCTTGTAAATATAGCACCAACCTGGTCAAGCCTTTGTTGGAGGCGGGTGCAGATCCTACCGCGGAGAATGATGCTGGAGAGACACCCCTCCACACCGACGGCACAACAGATAATGAGCTGTTACCCTTGCTTCTGGGGACAGGAACCGTGGATATCAACAGGCCTAGAAGTACGGATGGCAAGACACCGTTACTGTGCCGTCTCAAGGGAATGTATAGCAAATCAGTTGTTGCATTTTTGGAGTACAAGCCCGATGTCAACGCCACTGACACCGAGGGAAATGGCGCTTTACATGTGGCTCTAAATGACCGGCATATTAAAACCAGCGTGATTGACGCTTTACTGTGTGCCGGGGCCGATCCAAACCTGAAGAACAGACACGGCAATACACCATTCCATGTCATGAAATATGGTGTGGATGCAGCGCTCATCTGCAGGCTTTTGGATGCGGGGGCAGACCTTGAGGCGCAAAATCTCGCGGGCCAAACAGTTCTTTTCACGCAATTCACTTCACCAGAGATTAATAAAGAAGGAAGGCCAGAGATTTTTGAGATGCTCATCAACCAGGGCGCCCGGACAGATACTCGCGATTACAAAGGCCGAACTCTATGGCATCATGGATGTGAGAAGGGGAAGCGCTTAGACCATCTGAGAAGCCTAGGGCTTGAGCCGATCGTGACAGACCACGAAGGAAACACACCATTGCATGAGGTTGCCGCCGCGACGTCTCATAGTAATAAGCTGGAATCTATGAAGCATTTGATGGGTTTAGGCTTGGAAGTCGACCAACCGAATCACCGAGGCAGAACCGTCCTGCACATCCTGTGCTCTAGGACCGACTATAAATCCAAATCATCCAAGAAAGACCAGCCACTTGATTATGTTCTCGGAGTGTCCAAGAACGTGAGCCCTAGTGACATTGATGGAATTCAGCCACTGCATCTTGCCGCTACAATTTGCGAAAATTTTGTTTTCAAACTTCTCAACGCCGGTGCAGATTTGTTTGCTGTCACCCATGAAGGCATGACAGTACTTCATCTCGCAGCCCGAGCACGTCAATTCGGCATTGTGGATATGATTCTATCTCGACTTGGCATATTAGAAGAAAAGGATCGCATGGCATTTGTCAATCAGAAAAACTGCAAAGGAGAAACAGCTCTACATTACGCTTGTCGCTCCGGTCGCCCCGAAACTGTCAAATCGTTGCTTGAAGCAGGCGCAGATCCTAATTTGTTAGACAACTCCCAAAACTCACCCTTCACCATGTGTGCCGATTTTGAGAATGAACAAAAGCTGTGGCGCAATGATCAGCAGACATGTGTTGAAGGCCTCAATGCAGCTGGCCTTTTGCTGAAAGATCGTACACGTCCGTTTGGTGACAGGAATCACAGAACGGGTCGACATGACTTCAGCCAGCTTGAAACAGAGCACGATACAACGCGACTGGATGAGATCATGGATTCACTTGTCCAGTATGGTGCTGTAATTACTGGGGACCATGGTTGTCTTCAAAGGGCGTGGCGGGCGGTGATGCTGCCTCAGTTTGGCTATACCATCGACTGTATTTTGCACCTGGAGGCTCGTGTTACCGATGCAAAGATCACTGGAAATTTGCACCGTGACACGGGCTTCCTTATTGCTAGCTATTGTCGCAAAGCGGAAAAAGAGGCCTTGAAAGAAAGCACCAGGCCCGAAGACGGTGAGAAATGGTCCGAGAGTCGAGCTTCATCCGCGCAGCGAAGCCTTCTGGAGAGTGCGTTGGCCATGAGGCAGTATGATCTATTTGAAGAAATAGCCACGGACAGTGCCTGTCTCATAGTCCCCGGTTACCAGGGAAGGACAGCCTTGGATGATCTTGTCCACTGGGGCTATAGTGACATATTGGCCCGAGTCTGCAGTCGAGAACTTGCAACTAAACTTGATGATCATGAATGGTGCCGAGAAGCGGAAGCAGCAGACGGCCTCAGCAGAGATTTTATTTCACCATTGATAGTATCTGCTTGCACGCGTCAACTTCCCAACATGGACGTGTTGAAGCAACTCGTTGAGGACTTTGGTGTCAGTATGGATGCCCAATGCAGCGAGCGTGTGTATCATGGTGGTGAATATCAGATTCTAATGACCACGAGCGCCCTTCATTACCTCGCCACCGGAAATTGCTGGTGGCATGTCGACGGAGCCCTGCCGTATTTGATAGAGAAGGGTGCCAATCTAAATCTGAGGAACCATGACGGAGCAACACCTCTTCACATTGCATTGGCATCCACAGAGGCTTTCTGCAAGGAAGCTGCCAAAATTCTCATCAAAGGCGGTGCAGACGTCAATGCCGTAGACGACGATGGCAATACATGCCTGTCAAAGGCAGGCAATGACTTGGATTTGATCAAGCTTCTCATCGCGCATGGCGCCAAAGTCAGCGCAGCAGCCATATTCTCTGCGATTAATCTTGGACAGGTTGAGATACTGGAGGTTCTGCTTTCTCAGGGCGATTATGCCAACCTGAGGTCGCCCGGTCCTACAAAGCCCAAATATGACGGCTTCAGCTGGAGTGACATTGTCGATTCTGAAATGTTCCCGCTGTTTTATGCATCTAGCTTTCAATGCCCTAAGACCCCGAATCTCAAGGCAACGAAGGCACGGATGATGACAATACTTCTCAAACACGGCGCAGACCCATTTGCCGCTTTTGTCAAATATACAAAGAAGCCAAGACCTCATGATGAGTCGACCGAAGAGCCAGCCCCAGAATTACCAACAAAAAGCCACACAATCATTCATAAAATCCTAAGCTCGGGGCACATGTTTCAGCCATTCTTCCAGATTCCATCTCTGGACCTTGAACGTCGGGACCAAAGTGGCCGCACTCTGCTGTTAGCTGCATCCAAGAATCACAAGACATTGGGAACGAGGATCATGCCCACCCAGGAGCAAGACACCACCAAAACAGTCTTTCAAGAACTCATCGACCGTGGAGCCAATGTCATGGCGCAAGACGATGATGGAAAAACCATTCTCCATCTCATAGGGAATTTCAAGTCCGACGCCGATTTCATTGAGACCCTCAGGGCTGTCATCATCAACAATCCCAGCCTCACTCATCAAACCGACCGGGCTGGTGACACACCTCTCCACTACGCACTGCGTCACCGCGCCCACGATTACGTCGACCTACTTCTAGAGAACGGGGCCGATCCTACCCAGCCAGACTCCAACGGAGACACGGCCCTTCACCACATTGCCAGCCAATTTAAAAATCGTGCGTTGTTCAAGCGGTTCCTGGCTGCTGGCGTCGACATCAACGCCCGAAACAACCAAGGCGACACGCCGCTCTTCAAGTACATCACGATCGATTTTGAATCGAGCTGCCGCAGTGCAATTTTTGGCCTTGATCTCTCTTTTGAACACTCGAGCGACGGAGAGTTCAATGATCCCGTATTCAAATTCTTCCGCGAGGCAGGAGCCGACTTCTTTGCGCGAAACAATGCACAATCATCTTTGCTTCATCTGCTCGCTGCTATCAAGGTCGACACCATATTCGGCAGCAAAAGTACTCCACTGGTAATTGTGGAGCGGTTCAAGTGTTTGATGGATTTGGGATTGGATCCTATGGCTGAGGATGCGAGGCAGCGGACTAGTTTGGATGTTGCTGCTGCGTGTGGGAGTGAACATATTCAGAAGTTGTTTGAGCGGAAGCCGATGGAGTAGGTCGTCAAAGGAGAGGAGTTAGGAATATAGCCACATTCAGAATTTCTCCAGTAACTTTATTTGTAATCCTGGATTTCGGGACTTCAAACATTCTGCTATTCTTGACACAGTCCTGTTTTCCACGCCTTATGATCGTATGCACTAGCCATTAACTAAAGTGATAGGATAAAAAGGCACAGCATGAGCGACCCCGCAGAGCTTATGCCGACGCTGGAACCCCAAGAATGCCAGGAGTGGCAACATATATCATGACAAATCAGTAAAGTGATGTATCGACTGCTGGCAACTTTAATCAGCACCACAGCCATGGAATTGTAGGCAATAGACAGGCTCATCATGTATTTGCCGAGCATACTACGGATCCAGACCACTGAGCAACATTGAAGCCAAAGAAAGCATAGAACGGGGTTGAGTGGGATAACATCTGCCGAGAACAGAAAGCTATGGGTTCAGAACCAACTATTCTCTTGGAAATAGACCCGGGCCACATTTTATTGATTCAAACAAAAGTGATTGCCCTTGACCCATACTCGCGGTTCACTCCAGAAGTCAAATCTCAGTAGCTTGAAGTCAACCGGGCATGTCAATGTGCGACGATGGGAACTGGTCATCCCATGTCCATGGCCCTGTCTGAAGAGATGCGCAAAAAAAGGGAAAAACAAGCAAACAAAAGCAACAAAGAAACAAAGAACAAAAGAAAAAACGTCGAGTGTGGACTATTGGAGGGAATAAGGCCTTTAAAAGCACCATGGAGCAACCCCAAAAACCCGGGAAAGTTCCGCGATCATTCCATGTGGGCCCGAGGGATCCATGGATGCGGCAAAAGTCTCCTTAGATTCCCTTTCCCCGGAGATGCCAGTGTCTCTCTCTAGCCCCCTCCCTCCCCCCCCCTCCCCCAGCAGATGGCGATCCATGAGAGCCTATCGCCGGACTAGATACCTAGAAACCTACCGATCAGGAGAAGTCTTTGGCCATGTTTTGCGAAGACCAAGGCATTCCGACACCGGCAAGGCGAGGGATCCGCAATTTCGTGGACAGTCGACATGCCAGTGTCAAACCATGGGTTAGCGAATACCCAATTAGGCTAGTCTTGTTGATTATCTGCACTAGTGCGAATAATCGCACAGATTCTGGAGCCGATTGGGTTTTCGGCAGTGGATCGGATTGAAGTAGCCCTGAAACCAATTCCAATAATGCAACTTAAATTTGCTCGGCTGTTCAATGTCATTGGTGCCCTGGTCACAATGAGCCTCCACTTTTCCTCTACTATAGAGTACAATCTCGATTTGGAATTTGCCACGATGTGTTTCCAAATCGGGTTCTCCCCTGGCTGTACTCCGTAAATGCCCCTCCATGCCCTCCATCTTTCGCTTTCGCATGACTTTTCAACCTACATCATCTTTATCTCCAATATGGCAGACATGGCAGCCATGGCAGCCATGGCGGATCTCACGGTGTACAACATTCCAACGAGCCCTCCCAACTGGGATCGAGTAGGTGTCTTCTACATTTCATGGTGCGTGAGCTGGACGACTCTCCTACTCGCCGGAATGATCTTCTGCTTGGTCAATCGTCACAATCCCGTCCTTAGGTTCCGCGGTCTGCCGTTATCATTCTCTGCCATTGCTCTTCTCCATGTGTATTGGATCCTCGGCCAGATCACCTATCCGATCGGCGGAACTATGCATATGGTTCTTGCCTATGACATCCAGTACTTCGGCATGGGCGTCTACTTTCCACTGGGCATCGCTCTGTTCCACGCTTCGAACCACCGTTTCCTTCACATTGCCAAGCTGCAGAAGCAGTTCGTCCATCCTGAACTCCGAACAAAACATGGCTGCAACGGCGCCGACTCCTCATGGCTTTGCCGTCTGAGAAACATTAAGTACACGACTAAGATTTTCCTTTTCGTTGGCATTGGCATGGTATTTCAGGTATATTATCCTCCCTTGTGCCTTGGTCAGTCCAAAAGACTGACACTCTATTAGTTCCTTCTCACCCTCGGGATGTGGTTCGCTTGTAAAAAATACCATCCAACCTATGGTATTTCCGGAACGGGACTTGACGGCTTGCCACTCCCGGTGCAGATAGTGGAACTCGGTCGAGGATGGGAATGGTGGCCATCCGTGCTATGGCAAGTCATCTGGGCATGGATTGTCGCACCGATTCTCCTCTGGCGAGCTTGGGGTATCCGTGACACAATGGGATGGCGTACGCAAACTATCGCCTGTTGCATCTCCAGTCTTCATGCGACTCCGATGTTCTTGATCGCATCATACGTGCCTGCCTTTGCCAAAGTCAATGTTTATTTTACTCCGAGTCAATGGTGAGTATTCATATTTGTGTGCAACCAGACAAACTTGACAGTCGCTAATGGAAACGGAGGATTCATCTCTCCATCATGATGTGGGAAATCTTCACCGTATTCGTTCCCATCTACGAGGTCGTCAGGCAGTGGATCCTGAGCAAGAAAGCAGCCAACTCGTATGCTAGATGCGATACGGCATCGCCATCAATAACCCTTAGAACATCGGGCTCAAAAGAGTGGAACAATACATCTTCGTCCACGCTTGCTGAGAAGGGCCAGGCATCTGTTTTCTCAGAAGAGTGCCTGGGCGACCGTCTGTTCACAAAGGATGCTCTCGAACAAGTCCTCAGCAAGAATCCGGAGGCGTTGCAGGATTTTGCAGCACTCAAGGATTTCTCTGGAGAAAACGTTGCATTCCTGACCTGCACTGCCTCGTGGAAGTCATCCTGGCCGGAAAGTCCCGGCCAGGAACAGCTGCTCAGCACGTACAACCAGGCACTATGGATCTACACAGCTTTCATCAGCCCGCGCGACGCCGAGTTTCCCCTAAACATATCATCGCAAGCTCTCAACCACCTACAGTCTATCTTCGAAAAACCCGCGCGGATCCTATGCGGAGAAGGAAACGTAAACCCCGCGACGCCATTCGAAGCCGACTTTTCCACATTACCGCCGCAAGACGTTGGCATTAGGGCGCGGTACACGGGCGAGATCCCTGAGGGTTTCGACTTGGCAGTTTTCGACCATGTGCAAGAGCACGTCAAGTACCTGGTGCTGACAAACACATGGCCCAAGTTCGTTGAGGCGCTGCGGCGCCGGTCAGGCAATTCAATGGACAGTGGTTATACCGCGACGTCAGAGTCATCCATAACGAGTTGGCTGTCGAGTCAGCGCGCGAAGCTTCAATCATTCTTTTGATGTTATGCGGGTCTCTTGGGAGGGTTTTAGGCCACTGTACAATAACCATTTTCACTTCTTGTTTATGTATTATGTAAATATTTGTGCTACCCAATTTCTAGAATCAAACATGAACATACAACAGTCGGGGTTCGCTGGTGTTTTTAAGAAGTCCGTAGAACGCCGAGAGCCGAGGTCCTACAGTGGCAAGCCGTGGATCGGGTGGCCGAGAGCGCCTTGTCAGGGACGAATTCTTCGCAACAGCTGCCGACCCGAGTTAACCGATTTCACCGATGATTCGATTGATGAAATTTTATAAAAGTGATGTGCACTCTTGGCCCGCGACTTGGCTTTTCAACACTCTAACCAGTCGACATTGTGGCGATTGAACATGGCAGAGAATGGCGCAAACTCACAAGACACGATGAGTGCCATGATCCCCAATTATCCCCGTACAATCTCATTCTGGCGCCTGATGACCGATCAGCATGTCATCACCCAGGAGATTCTGAACCACGAGTATGCTGGATCCGGCACTGAAGACGATCCTCACGTGGTGTCATGGCTTCCAGACGACCCCCGCAATCCAATGCAATTCGCCATGGCCAGAAAGGTGATGGTTGTATTCATGACGGGTTTCGCAACGCTCATTATATCTCTGGCATCTTCCGGTTACAGTGGGAGTATTCAGGGCGTCATCCAGCATTTCGATATCAGCGAAGAAGTGGCTACCTTGGGCCTTTCGCTTTATGTCATTGGTTTCTCCGTAGGACCACTATTATGGGCACCTCTAAGCGAGAATATCGGGAGGCAAATCCCTTTTTTCGTCTCGTTTCTGCTTCTGGCAGTTCTCTGTGCAGGATGTGCCGCGGCACAGAACATCCAGACACTTCTGATTCTACGCTTTTTTGCTGGAGCGTTTGGCTCCTCTCCCCTCACTAATGCGGGTGGAGTTGTCTCTGATATGTTTACTTCCCGGCAGCGAGGTCTTGCGCTTTGTCTATTCGCATCTACTCCCTATATTGGTAATTCTACTTGTTCCTCCAAGTCATTCGTGATTCATGCGGTACTAACAGTACGGTTAGGCCCGGCAGTCGGTCCACTTATAGGTGGATTTCTAGGAATGAACGCGGGTTGGCGGTGGGTGGAAGGGCTTTTCGCCGCATGCGCAGGTCTGGTATGGATCCTGGTGACCTTTACTGTCCCAGAGACCTACGCACCAGTCCTCCTCGGGAAGCGTGCGGCAAGGCTCTCCAAGGTAACCGGGAAATGCTACCGGAGTAAGCTCGACATGGGCCAAGAAGGAGTGACTCTAGGACAGCGCCTAAAAACCGTATTTTCACGGCCGTGGGTGTTGCTATTTTGCGAACCAATCGTTCTGCTATTCACCTTCTACGCTGCTGTCATCTACGGGACACTCTACATGCTCTTTGCTGCATTCCCCATCGTCTACGAACAAGAACGGGGCTGGAATCCGGGCGTTGGAGGCCTTCCTTTTCTAGGAGTCCTAGTAGGCATGTTTACCGCAGTCGCCTACACCGTCATGGATAACCAGCGATACATCAAGACCCAAGAGCGACACAACGGCTTCGCACCACCAGAGGCCCGTCTCCCACCTTGCATGCTCTCCGCCATAACCGTTCCTGTCGGCTTATTCTGGTTCGCGTGGACAAACTCCCCATCTATCCATTGGATGGCCAGCGTGGCAGCACTGGTGCCCTTTGGATTCGGCTTGGTAATTGTGTACATGGGGATTGTCAACTATCTCATCGACTCGTATACCATCTATTCTGCGTCTGTGCTGGCGGCCATGTCTGTTTTGCGATATATGTTTGGTGGTGTGTTTCCGTTGTTCACGACGTATATGTACAAGGGCCTGGGGATTCATTGGGCTTCAAGTATTCCGGGGTTTATCTCTGTGGCTTGTATTCCGTTGCCGTTTCTTTTTTATAGGTATGGGGCGGCGATTCGGAAACGGTGTAAATATGCTGCCATTTCGGCAGGTCATTTGCAGAAATTACAGGAAACGGCTGCGGCGGAAAAGAGCACCTGCGAGGAAAGTCCTGGGAGTAAGTAATTGTGTTATTTTCCATGTTATATCTCGGAGACGAGGTGGTTCGTTCGGGTATTGGGGGAGAAAAAAAAAAAAAAAAAAACAAAACTTTTCGGCAGATATTATTACAAAATAGACATAATAATTGGTATATTTGCCCTATGCAGATTGAGCATACATTTACATTGTTCCCGTCTCAGACCAAGTCCATTGGATGCTTGAGCATGCAGGAACCACTGCTTAAGCAAATGGAAAATCAGAAATACGTAGAGGTACATATGTACAAGACAATCGACGTCAGCATGCAGGTCAAATGGTTAATTTCAGCCAAGAACTGCCTGTTCAGTCCCCGTTCCTGATATACAGAGCTCATTGCAAGCCAAGCGCCGTTAACCGATGGACAAGGAGACCACACGCATATTTCGGCCAAGAGAAAGGTACGAAAACACTATTGTGTCGGTCAGGACGACCTAATAGTGATGCCAAGCGCGCAGCCTTGCAGTTCATCATTGCCCAAAACAGCTAACTAACTATACGTTGGTGGCAGTGCCAAATGATCATGGATTTGAATACGGCTAGCCTCATGGAATATTCTTTCCAGTAATCATCTTACCAGGCATAAGAAATGGATGGAGAATGTCAACATGATCAGGAAGAAATTTCATTGTCAAGTATTGACTCCACAGACCATAGAAATAGACCAGACAGACAGAGGTAAGCCAGGTGTTCTATGCCTCTTGTTGGAACCAAACACTCATTTCCTTAGTCTCGCATCTAGTAACGAAGAGACTGTCTTGCCTCCTTCACGCGACGAGTCGACCATAGATCCCAATGAGACCTCACAGCCCAGCGATGATGCCGAGAAAAAGAACACAGAAGAGCAGCCGAAAATCATATCAAAGCGCAGCAGGATGACAGCTACAAGGATCTTTTTTCAGTTCCACTTTATTCCCTTTAGCGTCGCATTGGCACTGATTGCACTGAACCTCAGAACTGCTTATGTCTCGGGTGAAGATGGCCCATGGTCCAATATGCTTCAGTTTGCCTCGAAGGCTCATGAGCTCCTGATGCAGATCTCCATGGGAACGGTAGTGGTGACCTATATAGAGTATCTCGCTACTAAACAAGCAGCTCTACCATTTGGCGCCATCTTCGCTGCGTATAGCACTATGCGACTGGACTATCTGTGGTCGGATGAATTTACTGCTAGTCTGACGTCCCCCCGGGTTTCTGCTTTCTCTGAAAGTAGCATTCGGTGCTTTTATGCCTGCGAGTATCTTACTTGCAGCGGGTGTTGGCCCTGCAAGCGCCATTGCCATGTTGCCTCGATATGTCAACTTTACAATGCCGACTTACTCCATGGTCTTCGAGCAGAACTATACCGAGCTGTTCCCCACGGAGCTGACCCTATCTACCGCCTCATCCTCCACGGTAATGGGATTTGCAAAATGTGAGCACAGCCGGGGATTGTTACAAAAGGTCGTTGTTGGTCGCACATATTGACAGCGGCCCAGTAACACCCGTCTTTTCCTACCATCCACGAGACTATGGTTTCTCCTTGCGGGCGGCTGAGTGAGCATTCCTTATGGCCTTATGGTGACCTAAAGCCTACTGATCCGGGCGAGAAGTACAAACTTCAGTAGCATACGCTTGACTTCTAAATAAATCAGACCAGTCCCACATCAATATCTCATTTAGAGAAGGATCCATTAGAAAGAAAACATGCCCATTCCACGCTACGGCGTCTGGGTTGTTTAGGGGCATTTCCGGCAGGCTTGTACCTTATGACGTCCACGGACCTGATAACAATATTCTTAACAAAGTCGAGCCGATACTTGCTGATGCTATCAAGGACCAGGCGAAGATATATCTTTTTGGCTCATTATTTGGATCGGGGATTCATGATATTCATATGAATCAAGGGAATTTACTGAGATACCCTAATTGGTGTACCAGGACGCGGCTATCCTTTTGGAGTTTCAGGATGATCACTGGGAGGCTATTCTTTTGGCCTTCGCTTCGCAGAAGACTAAGACGGATGATGAATTGGGGGAAGCACTGAGGGAATGATTCTTTTGCCGAGGTTCTTAAGAAGCCCTAATAAAATTCCAATTTTAAGATTCATCATTCTTAGTTATTATTCTTGTTTTAGTTATATTCTATTAAAAGAGTCAAAATTCCATGGCAGCCATATTATTATAACTCCATCTGCAGATAGCTACCTGAATACACCAGTATCGTTAGCATGCCTTTTTCGGTCATAACCTAATCCACATTCAATGTGCCCCAGCGGTTGAAGAAGACAAAGTACATACAGAGAATCTGTACCCAGGTTTGTAGGCCGCCATCAAGGGAAGGAGAAGGAGAAGGTGGTGGTGAGCTCCGACAGATGATTTCCATGCACTGTAAAAGAATAGTAGACCTGCTAAAAAACCTCAACCTGCCAATTTCCCAGAAAGCAGCAGCGAGCTCTGGTTGTCTTCGGCAATAACTTTGATCTTCTTCGAAACGCCCTGCACTTCATCCACGTTCCGCAGAGAATCAAAATCATGTTCTGGCTCCGTCCCGAGACGATACATAAGCAATGGAAGGGTAGAAGATTTCCATAGTATCGCATTGAGCTTGCGACTTGCTATCATAGTCGTTGCAAACACGAGAAGATTACTGCGGCTATTGGAAGGGTGATCCATGGCCACCTGACGTGAATATAGGTTTCATCTCGAAAGGCCTCCCCGGGGATTATTGTTGATCCTTCGCCTCTACGGAACCTGTGAGATCTATATAAATCACCAATCAAGAGCACTTGATGACAGCTGCTGACGTTGGAATGAGCACATATTCCCACCCGGCCACCCTCATAGATGAGTTGTGCTTTGCCGTGGGTCTCAATATTTATTATCATCACTGCGTTGGAGATTATGAGGGCAGGTCAAAGCAGCCAGACCTCTACACCTCTACATCAAGCCAGAGAACCTGCCGCTACCCACCATCGCCCTTCAGACGGTGTCATCACAGTTCCGTGTCAAACTAAGAGAAGATAAATAGATGTGATTGAGAGGGGAGGATGTTACCCTTAAGCGGGCCAAATTGAAAGGTGTGGATTCATCAAGTGCGAGTTCTATGTCTGGAGAAAAAGCAGTCTATGTAAAGAACATGTAAGGCTGAGAGAAACTTTGGGAGACAATCATTGATGGCAGCTAACATTATAAGTAGATTGTGTTCCTTGAACCGCCCACCTTGCCATCCCGCGATCCGCATTTACCGTAAAGAGCTGTCTGGTCCGGATCCATCCAGCCAAATAGACCCGAAGAAATTCATAGAGTTCGATCTCTTCCAAAGGCTTGTGCTTCTTTTTAAGGGAGATTGTTAGGATCCGGACGGACATGATGCATTTGTTCGACTGCTCATAGCAGTAGTCTCAGGTTATACTAACTGTTTAAACCAAGAATTATACAAACCCTTGCTATGCTCAGGACAATATAATACAGCCTCCTGCCCTCGTGAGAGAAGCAAAAACAAAAACATACAACAGCCGGGATTTGCTGGTGGTCACCCACTCAACTACTAACCGGCCGGCGTGTGGCTTGTGTGCGAATCTGTTTTCAACTTGCACTGTATTCAAATGATAAGAGTAGCTGGGATTCTAATCCGATGTGAGGAGATAAACGAGAATGATCGAGGTTGTCTTTACTCAGATGGAACTAGCGCTTACTGAAAGTAAGTTAATCCGGACCCCCCTGGTGCGCGCTGTTGTAATATTGCTGCATTGCCCGCCAGGCCTCTGCGGCTAGAGTATCCAAAGATACGTTGGCAACCTGAAAATTGCGCAAATTAATCGAGTCAGTCTGTGTAAATGGCGGAGAAACTTTGACAAAGTCGCGAGGCACGGCGAGGTTCGGACACGGGCGAGGAGGGCAATCGCCCCTCTGTCTCATCTTCCATGTCACAGTCACAACATGATAATCAAGCTGACCTGATCGGATATCATCTCTTACCCAGCGTTGACCACCCAGGAGTGAGCTTCCTGTCCACGTGGATACTGAAATATCCTCTTTACAGGCTGTGAGAATAGCATCATTGGCAATCAAATTCACCTCGTCCTTGCGTCTGTCAATCATCTCGAAGTCTAACGTGAAAGATGTAACACTGTCCAGAAGCCGGATTCCATTCACCCAAGCGGCATCAACATGCAGACGCGCATTGCGTTCCCAGAACCAGAAGTCTGGATATCAAATCGCCACAGCGACGCGCTTGGGATAAAAATGCCGCACGTCCAGGATTTTCTGCAGCTCACGTCCGGGCTCCAGCATCCAAAGCTGGGCAAACACACGAATTCCACCCAACCCAGATCTCCCACTGGGTTGGTGATTCCCGTATGTCTCGTGGACTAGTCAGTTATATTATCTAAAACCGCGAGGCCAGGTTCCGCCAGGAGACCGATCGGATTGCTCTAGGTAGAAGTGATGCTCGGCGAGAGCGAACTGCATTGACCATGCTTTGTTGTAGAGTCGTCGACATGTTCTTAGGAGCTCTAGCGGTTCGCAGTGCAGCCGTGTTGCCCAGTCGCCACCAGTCGGTGTTTTTATTGTATGATCGTTCGAGAATTTCATATTCGGACAGAGCGTAGACGTAGATCTCGTTTCGGATCTCGTGTCGGATCTCGGGCGGCAAAACGGAGAAGAGGGGGCTCTGATCTTGATTATTGTAGGAGGTAAAGTCGAGTGGCCGGAGATCGGACATATTAAAAGGTGTTCTTCTTTACAGTCCTTCCGAATATCTACATGGAACACTGGGTGTATACCTTGCGGAGTGTCTAATTGGTATGCGTGTAAGCTCACCCGAGTGAGGACAGTGTACTTAGCTTGACGGACATCAAACTTCTTACTGGAGCGGTTAGTCCGAATGTTGCGCAATGTGAGCCATACCTTCTCATTGGGCTTATAGTGCGGGGCAAGTAGCGGCTGGTATAGTGCTCATGTCATTACTGGGCTGCTACGAGCTCTGCTTGGGCTACTTCAAGGACATTATGTAGTTTGTCAGTTATGCATTTGCCCGTGGCTTGGTTGACAGTGCGCCGGGACCAATTATCACTGGGCTCGGTGAGCTCCAGGGTCTCCAGTCTGTGTATCCATGTTTACTACTGTAGAGCATGACCATGGTATAGGTATAGCAACATGGTCTAAAATTGAGCATCTTCTATTTCATATTATAGAGCGAAATTTGTATTCTACATCATACCGTGTCAACGTGCTATCCTTCCCCTTCTCTTCTAAGGGCACGCACTGGGTGAGCAGCTGGCTCAGGGAGAGGATATCAAGATGTTCCATGCTGTCCATGCTGAGCGCCATGGTGAGTGATGGCTGCAAGTCAACAAAAAGGATCGAAAGCGCCTACTTTGAGTCAAAGGCTGTGTAAATGCACTTACTCTGTTAATACCTCATAGTTCTGTAGGTCATGGACATGGCACCTACTATATTTGGTTGCGGCGCAGTCATTTGCATTGTTAGCGCCATCGATGCCCCCTCTTGGGATATGAGGGGCACGGAACCGCTTAAAATCCCACTGATTCATTGTTCTTTTTTTTTTTTTTTTGAGACCAAATTGATCAAGCTCATATTTTCCACTGCAAGTGAGAAAGGAAATCTCTTGTTCCCAGAAAATCTCGATCACCTACTATGTCGCCCCAGCAACAACCCGACCGGTCTGCTCAACCCTTCACCTTCAGGGCTACTGTACCATCCGTAGAGGCTGTGGATCATGGCCCCGACCATGACTCCCTTTCAAGCGATGCGGGACAGTCAACGCCACCAGAGTCCGACTCGGAAACTCCAGACGAAAGAAATTACGTCCCAAACGGCTCGGTCGCTTCCCTTGAGACAGCCAGCAACTTGGGCATTAGTGAGCCTTTGAGGGCATTGAGCTTGTCTTCAGGGCAATCGACCTCGGTTAATGCCGACTTGTTCGATGCGACGTCGGAAGATCCTGATACCTCCGGGCGACACACTTCTGTTCGCGATCCGTTGCCCAGTCACAACCAGCCGGGCCTTGATGGAGACCAAGGATACCAAATAAACACTGGTAGCGAAGTCGATAACGATAGCAATATTTCCTCATTGGATGATGTGCCACAGGAACTGCCGCCCTCCGCGCCTATATTCAACAGCGACCTTCAGGGGGCCCTAAGAGACGTCAAAGATCATTTGTCAAGCATCATCTCTGACATGGAGCAGTGCCCTTTGATTGCTGATCAAGAATCCGACCTCTCAAAACAGCACGAGCAGGTACGAATGGCAAGTCAACTTGACTGTCCAGAAACTCGCACTATAGGATTCATTGGGGACTCGGGGGTTGGCAAGAGCAGGTTGATTAACTCTCTCCTGAACCTAGATGGTCTGGCCCGGTCGGTATGTTTATAAATCTCTTGAAAAAAATAATTAATAGCGTGTTACTAAATTGTCAGAGTGCCGAGGGCTCGGCCTGTACCTCTGTCGTTACCGAGTTCCGTGATATAGATCGCCACCATCCCAGTTGGACAATTGAAGTCCTCTACATGGACTCTGAAGAAGTAAAGGAACTGCTTGAGGAACTCCTCCAGAGCTTCAGAATGTATTACACAGATACCTTTCGTGAGGTGACCAGCATGCAAGAACAAGAGCGTATTCGCGAGCGGTCAACCAGGGCATGGGCCACGTTCCATTCAATGTTTCGCGGACAGCCAGACCTCACGCACGAATTTCTTGCTGACCAGACAGAAGCCGCACATTCGCGAATTCTGGAGAGACTTCAACAATGGACACAGCCTTCGTCCAGACAACGTCCTGGAGGCCCAGCGCTGCAACATAAAGCTGTACTGGGCAGCTTTAACCTCTGTCAGTCTCATCTTGATAGACTCACAATGGACCCGCAGGATGAAGGAGAAACTGCAATCTGGCCTTTTATCAAGCTAATTAGGTAAGGAGGCTGCGCAAAGCCTGTATCCATGGATATCTTTATTCAAATATGGCTTACCGATGGCAGGGTGTACTTGCCTTCACCAATTCTACGTACCGGCTTAGTATTGGCAGACTTGCCTGGTTTGAGCTTCAAGTTCCTTTTATAGCTGCTCTATCATGTACTAACTTGCATTACAGGCTTCCGTGACCTGAATTTCGCTCGGGTTCGTGCAACTGACAGATATCTCAAACACTCCTGCAATGAGGTTTTCGTTGTGACGACAATATCGAGGTGCATCACCGACCAGAGTATTGACGAGATAAAATCACGATGCAATAGAGGACAACCAATGCGCATCGTGTGTACTAGAAGCGAGGTTAGTGCCCTAAATGACTGTTTCGAGGTGTGTCTGCTCACGCAATGTAGGATGTTATAGCAGGTGAAATGGCCCGCCAGTACAGTGATCTTGCTCCGGAGATAAACAGGCTAGAAAGACGGGTAAGACACGCGGAGAGCAGATTCGCCGAAGCATTTAGAGCCGGCAGTGGTGGAAATCTACGTGAACTCATGTGAGCATCCCTTCCCGCACCTATTCCCGATAGGAGCCTCCATACTTATATATCTCGTTATAGAAGCAACAAAGATAGAGCCCAATTTGAGTATTCTATACCCAGCAACTACAGCATAACAAGGCTCTGATGCTAAGTCTCCCTAGACGCGACCAATTCTTGATCTGGAACCGGAATCAGCGCGTTGAAGCATGCCTTAGGAAGCATGGTGAGGAAGTTCGTATCTTCTGCATCAGTAACGAACTGTACTCTCGGCACCGTGGAGGTAACTCGACACATGACGATGATTATCTTGAGCTCAGTTGTATTCGCGAACTACGTCATTACTGTCAATTAGTTCCAGCCGAGGCGCAATTTTGCTTCGTTACTGCGTTTCTAGAGCATCGTGCACCAGCCGTGCTGCGATCTGTGAAACAATGGACCCTGACTGGCTGCGACAATGTCACCGCTGAGAGGGCGAAAACGCTGCGGCAAGTATTGTTGGATATCGAAAGAGCTTTCCGTGAGGTATGATAATTCTACATAATATTTTGCCCAGCTGACATCCATCAGGCGCTTATGCCGCAAAACGCAGGATTCCGGGCATTCCCAGGAAGGCTCAAGGAACGTTTTGACGACGAAATACTCGATGTAGCCTGTGAGTAGCATCTTGTAATTGTGTGAGCCGTGCAGCGGGTGTTCAATTTTTTTTGGAATATATTGCAGATGAACAAGCTCCCGAATGGAGAAAAAGTGCGCTTCAAACCAGCAGGGTATGGCAGAGTGTACGTCGATAATACTCCTCCCATACTGGACTGAATCCATCTCAAGACGGCTGACTTATTTCAGTGGCATCATACTACTTATGCGGCCTTTTGTCGAAACTACGGTACGCATTCGACAAGAAATGCCGGTTCTCATTGCTGGAATACCGAGCTACTGGAAGGCACGCAGGCAGCTTTGGAAGAATCTTGGTCCTCTTTGGAAAAATGGATTCTCATACAAAAACATTTGTTGAATGGCGCTGTAAGAGCCGCTTTTCAGAAAAATCTTGAATGTTTGGAAGGTACAGCCCATATTACTTACCTTAGTCTTTTCTATTCACAATACACTGGGTGGTTGCTGAAAAACTTTACAGACAATATACTGCTGGCGCCAATCGCATTGGAAAACTTAATTGACAACATGGGTGACAGAGAGGCTTGCATAACCAACAGCGTTGGGCAGTTGCTCAACCGCCTTATAGAATCGTTAAGGTATAATTTTATCAGTTTAATTGTGTATGCTGAACTAATGGATTAATCCAGTCTAATAAAGGGAGACGCTCTCTACGGCCACGCTAGCTCATACATGGCGGGGTTGATGCGGCCTGTCTATAATAAGTGTAACAGTGACTCAGGTATGAATTGCTCTTTGACAGAAGAAAATAATCAGTCTTCCCAATGGTTATGCTGACTATTACCAAAGGTGGAGGTGTTGACGGCCGGCGAAAATGTTATATGAGAGATCACCTCACCAAAACCACAATATTCTTTCATCTCATAGAGGCCATCAATACCGACTGCCGCTCCCTCTTTACGGAAATCCTCTCAGAGCTGAAACAAGTGATTCATCAGGAAATGGGGAACCTATATAGCGATCTCCACAACGTCATGGCAGAGGAGGGCGAAATGACTGAAGCAACAAGGTTTCCAGGTGTTGCCAGCAGTCTACGTAATAAGGTAGACATGGCTGAAAGTACACTTAAACAGGCATGTGAAATTGTTGGCAGATTGCGAAGCACCTCATCCTTATCTTGAACATACCATGGGACTGGCTTGTTGATCTGGTTACCTAGCTAGCGAAAGGATTGCAGCCTTGATCATCTTCCAACCATGGTTGAAGCTAAGGTCATATTGTTCCACGTCTGTTCAAGAGGTGGATGCAGATGTGCAATGTTTATAGATAACTATTATGTTTTGACACTGGATAATTTCAAATTCCTTCCTGCAACACTTATTCCAATTTCTCAATCTTAAGTTGTTAGGCACGGAGTACATTCAGAAAGATAGAGTATTTGCCAATCGCAGGAAGCAAAATCAAATTGTGCCAATCTGAGAATCAAAGAGAGGGTTGTCAGACCGTAGGTCCAAGGGGTAGGATAGTGTGTCACCAGCGAACCCTGGCTGTTGTATGTTTTTGTCTTTGCCAAACGAAAAAAACGAGCGCAGCCAGACTGGGTGGGGTTAATGTTTATTTTTTAAAGGATGTCAGATTATTATGGTTATGTACAAGAAGAAGAAACTCATGCCGCGAGTAGAGCTTAACAACCTCTGGATCACAGTGCTTCAGATCATTGAAAAAGAGATAGGCATATCGAAATGGCATACGCCACTTCCACCAGACATAACTATCATCACCCAGTTCACCTGGAATGGGAATTAGGTTAGGATATTTGTCTAAAGTGTACTTTTTCGAATCGATAATGCATCACCACGGTCGACTACGCAGCCGACTTGTTGTCAAGCACTGCCATGAATTGGCGCTCGATAGTTGTGCCCGCGAGGTTGGAGACGAGATGATGAAAGTGTTGGCGAAGTTGTGGGTTGCTCTAGCCTTCGAATCCTGTCTCGAAGGCTTGCTTGGGCATGGTACAGAACTCGTCTAGCTCTGCTTGGTCGGATCTAGTAAGAATTTTCAAGATGTTCAAACACCATTCAGGGTCAATGGTGGTTCATTCTTCCATGAGTTGAGTGATTACCTAGAGACGAATTGGTTGGTGAAAAACCTCAAAATATATAGAATATAACTCCGTGCTCTTGCTGGCACATTGGTCGTGCAGAATGTTAAGATGGCTGCCATGCTGATTATCAGGCACTTGTCGGTTTCTGTCGGCGATTAAATAGTATGGCCAATGTTGAATCACTTATCAAGGGGGACGGTCCGTTTGTGGCTATGTGCAGATGCCAGGGAAGCTCAGTGGTGATCTCTAGAGATGGACTGTCGAGATGTCCGAGGGAAGTTGAAAGCGAGCGGATTAAGAGCTTTTCGCCGAGCCAAAAGGCTTCATTAGACACCTCTGGAGCTACTGTGATGGAAATCCTGACTTTTCTCGGGTGATTTAATGGTATAGTTGGCGCAAAATAAGATAGTGTTGGAGGCCATCTTTGACACGGCGGTGTGACGATTGGAGATACAACAGTTGCTGTGGTATGGCTATTTCCCGGGCTATACACGGCTTGTTAAACTGGTAGAATTATGTCGTCACATACTCTTTGTAAGGGCTTGGAGTTAACGTCCTATTTAACCTCCCCATATTTCTCCAGCGCATCATGCAACCGCCCAAAAACACCCCCATGCCAGCCCCTCGCCTCCTCCCACTCATCGTCCGGTAGAGTCCCACGTATCATCCACAGCCATCCGCCGACAATAAAATCCGCATAGCTGGCTTGCTTTCCGAGTAGAAAAGGCCCACTGGCGTCCCTCAAGAATAACTTGGCCAGGTCCCCCAGCACGTCTCGGAAAGAATTCTTCAGCTTCTCTCGTTCCTCGCCACTCACCGCGAAATCGTCCCAAGATGTAACCCCAGCGCGCCGAACGAACTCTGCCTTAGTCGCTTCAGCGGTAGTTGGGTCGAGAGGCATACCATGTATCATAAGCGGAACGTGTGCGCTGAAAGCCGCATCGACATTTGTATTGAATCGAGCGTACTCGTCAAACTCACCCTCTTTCCGCTCTGACAGCGGCGCGAGCAGCGCAAGATCGTGCCCGAAGACGAAGTCGAGCGTCTGAGGGGGGAACAGGTTGCCTGCACCCGAGTTCGGGTATGACTTTTGCAGGTAGGCAGCAATATCGAAGGAGTCGCCGATAATGGAGTTGGTGGATGGGTCAGAGAGCATGGGGAGTGTGTAGAAGTCGGTGCCATCGGCAAACTTGCGAGATGCGGGTACGCCGAGCCCTCGGCGTACCTTGGTGATATCTGGCAGCTGCACCCATGAGGTCGAATGAGGAATGTCTTTGAAATTGAGCGCGAGTCTGGATTTCCAAGGGTTTGGTCCGCAGCATGTCGCTGCAACTGGCGGGCGCATCGCGATGTCATAGAAGATCATGGCGGTGGACATGGCTAATGGCAAAGAGCAGATCTGCTCTGCTTCCCTTTTTTCCTCTTTCTGAAACGACCTGGGTCTCCTGTGGTTCAGGCTATGGCAAGGAAAGGCATTGATGATACTATTGTATTTGTAGCTGTCTAGATCGATGAGGGTGGATCTCCTCTATCCGGCATATGTGTGTGAGCTCGCTAGTGCGGGCCAATCAGGAGCGGGGCATATTAGAGCCTGAGGCTCTCCAAACCATGCGCCGCGACTAATGGCCGAATGAGCTATCTATCGTACATGATAGTATTCATACAAGTTTTCGTCTCTATCGCGTCTACCATCCGTTCCATCAGTCCTCATTCATTGCGTCCCTTCAGTCCGAGGCGTTCGACAAAGCGGTTAAAGTCGTATTCGCGGAGCGGCTTGGTGAGCGCGTCTACAGGGTTATCCTTTCCAGGTATGTGGGTGATGATAATCTTGCCTTCCTGTAGCATGTCTTTAGCGAGGAAGTACTTGTCATCGATCCAGCGAATCTTTGGCGAGTAGTTGGGACTCTTCAGGTAGTCAATAGCTACTTCTGAATCAGTGTAGACCGGAATCAGGCCATCACCCTTGAGTCCAAGTGCTTGTAGGATCTTCTTTGTTCACAGTGCCTCCATAACTGCTTCATGAATGGCAATGAATTCTGATAGACTGGTTGAGTTTGTAGTTATTGTCTGGCATTTTGACGGCCAGCTGATTGGGGCTCCTTGGAAAAAGAACACATATGATCCAGTTGATTTTGCTTCTTCGCAGTCCATATGGGAGGAATCCACATACACCTCAAAAAGGGAGCCATTCCGGTTGAGCGTTATGCTGTAACCTATAGTGCCTTTGATGTAGCGCGCTATCTGTTTCATTGCATCCATGTTAGTTTTGTTGACAGCGGCTTGGCGTCATTGGATTCTGCCCAAAGTGAAAACGTAGTCCGGTCTAGTCTTGACTCCCATCCAGTTGGATTGGCCAGTCAGGTGCAAGATGTTATGGCATTCTGCTTCCTGAAGGAGCTTGCTGTGCTCATTCAGTTTCCAGCCTGGTGGCATCAGGGCTGCAAAGCAAACTGTCAACATTTGGCCTCTTGTTGTTCTTGATGAGCATCTAGCCCCAGTCAGTGCTGCTGGTTCTGAGTTTGTTGTAAGGGGCCGAGCCCGGAAGCTATTATCTAGCTATATACAAAAAGGATTCGATAGAGAAAGAAAGAAGAACGCCTGTCGAGGTAGGAGACCGACACATATATATAGTTCGCGTAGACGTATACCCAACGCGGGGTCGGGCATCTAGCCAATTGTCACGTAATGTTTGATATACTGTTGGATATCTGTTGGATGCTGCCGCAGCTTAACCACGCCCAGCATGGAAAGGATATATAAGGACACTCAATCATGTACTTAGTTCTGTTCTTCGCAATCAATCTAGTTAATCAAGCATTGGTTACCTTCTAGTTTCTGACTCGTCCGCACTTAATCAACAACCCAGCATACGTGCTTGATTGGCCTTGTTTCTCTATTCGTTACCTTTACCGATTCTACTTGTGGTTATCTTACGGAGCCTGGAGGGGGCGATATACCCATCGACGCATACGACTTAGGACCCGGATGGTCATTGAAGCACAGCGGTGCACTACGAAACACTTAGAGGTAAGTGTCCTGTCTCGAAATACAACTAACTAGAACCCTAGGTACGATACGAGAGAAGCCAGGTTGTGACATATACTTCACTATATCCACTATACATTCATTGCTATAGTATAGAGAATCAAATGACAATCAAATGTATCCCATGACTGGAGAATAGAAGTTGAGTTAGACAGAACCGTGGAACAAGACAACAACCAAAGAGAAAAAAAAAATAAAAATTATAACCACGCCACTAGATCCAAATTAGAAATGCCCCCTCAATCCACCACGCTCCGCACCACCCCAAAGCACAAACTTCGGCTCCAGTCCCTTCCCAGCCTTCTCCGCCTGCTCCAGTCTCTCAGCCTTGGGAAGAAGCACCACATTCTCGGGATACAGCTTTCCCAATATAGCCAGAGAGACAAGAGGATCCTGGATGGGAATAATATGAAGACCGCCCTGTTTGGTGGTGACAAGACCCTCCTCTTCAGTCTGCAGAAGGACAGAAGCGGCATCATGGACGATGGCAGTCGCTGTTTTGGCTTCGCCGTTGGTCGTGCCGTTGCCGTTCACAGATGCAGAGGGAGAGGGAGGAGATGGATTCTGTGCCATATACGCGTAGCGATGGCCACGGGCAACCTGGCCGACGTCCACGGAGATGCACTTCCCGTTTTCCAGCTCCAGCCGCAGTTCCAGTTGTCGAACTGTCTTGGACGACGAGGTGGAGGGAGACACCGCCAGAAGAACACCGATGCTGGCTGCTTGGATGTTAAGGCTCTCCTCTGGGCCCAACGGGTAAGAAGCCGGGGTTGTCTTGGTGCCAGCAGGAATCTCCACGCGAGGGGCAAGATAGTAGTCCTGCACTTGGTAGTCGAAGATGATGTCCTTGGGGGTATCCTCGACCAGACGGGCGGGAATGTACTGTAGCAGATGGAACGGGGTAGAACCGGCAGCTAAAAAGGCAGGGAGGACAAGTCCATGGGCGTACTGGAAGCCGTAGCCTGGGCCGGTGCTGGTGCTGGTGCTGGTGAGCGCGGTCCGGGCAAGGATATTCGGGGCCAGTAGGGCCTGCGCCTGCTTGACGACAGCCGCCTGGGAGACTTCTTTGGTCCAAAGCTGGGCGAGGAATTCAGAGCGAGGAGACTCCAGATGACGGATACCTCGAGCCGCTCGGCCGTTAATGGGGATAATGACATCCTCGTAGTTTTTGAAGGGCAGTAGGGCGTCTCGCAGCAGCACCATCTGATGCATGTACTCATTGAACAGCTGCATTAGGTGTGGCTGGCTGCGACGACCAAACATCAGGTCAACATTAGGCGGGATGAGAAGATGGCCTTCACATGGACTGCGAAGGTATAGGTCGGGGTTGAAGGGGCCGCCAGTGTGATTGCGGGCGTATTGCACTAGGGTCCGACCAATTTGCCTGGCTTGCTCGGCGACCTCCTTGCGGGACTCGTCAAAGTCAAGACTGGGGAAGCGCATGGAGGCTTCGCGCGTGTTGGTGTCCAGATTGGCGGCGAGATTGTCAAGCAACTGAGCCCGGGATGGTCGGGCGTTGGGAGGATCCGGCCCCAGACGAAAGACAACGGTATCAAGCAGAGGAGCAAACCCTTCCACAAGCTGACGGGGCGTATAGAGACCGGATTTGAGGGCCCAGGCCTCGTGTGGCTTGTTCGTGTCGTGCGCGCCGGCGTCGGGCTTGGGGGTGATGCTGTGGCCGACGAGGATGCCTCCTGCACCTTTTCCACCGAAGGCGGGCAAATGGAATGCGCTGCTTTCTGTTGCAGTTTTCATGGCTACGGCTCTTATCATATCGAGGAACCCTAATAACAGAATTGGTAGAATCAAAATGAACGTCAGAACAGATGTTGCCATGGGTTAGTTATATACCACGATCCAAGAATGACGAAAGAGAGCGCCCCGCGTTCTCCCTGCTTTTGAATAAAAGATGCTGACAAATTGATTCTTCCATTTCTCTTTCACTTCTTCCTCATGGTCGACCGCGAGCAGGAGCATGTTCGGAGAAGAGTGGATGTTCGCAACGCCGGAGAAAAGTGGTCGGTCGACAACCCAACTCCGAAGCGCACAAGCCAAACTCGCCCATCTCTTGGAAACTGGCCTTGGTCGAGTATCTGTACCTCTCAAAAAGTGTGAGGAAGTATAGGAACATTGATGGACGTAACGCAACATCTTATAAGGTCCTGTTGCATAAATATGTAAATGATGGACGTCCTCTATGAAGGTTTGAATACCACACAGATACACCCCACCAAAGCATTATAGCGTCAGCCATGGCAGACTTAGAAGACCTTCCTGTGATTGATTTCACATCATTGAATGAGAAAGATGCACAGGGCCAGCGCACATCAACCTCACTCAAGGAACGACACCAGCTCTTCCTTGCCTTGCGCGACACTGGCTTCGCATACCTCAAGCACCCTGGTATCAACCAGGCCACGATGGATGAACTGTTCTCGCACTCGAAGCGCTTTTTCTCCAAGCCACTGGAAGAAAAGATGAAGATCCTGGGCAAGATGGACAAAGGCCGCGGTCCAAGCCAGGGATACTCGAACCCCCTCAAACTAGCACACAACCCCAAGACTTCCGACCTTAAGGAGTTCTTCGGTATGTATCGCGATGACGACACTGAGAAGCCTAACCAGTGGCTGCAAGACGCCGAGTCGCATGAAATGCGGGCGGATATCGTCCGTTTCTTCGACTCATGCCACAATGTCATTCTCGAGCTGCTGAGCGCTGTCGCTGAGGAGGTCGGACTGCCCTCAAAGGCTCTCCATCCATTTATCGGCGAGAGGAGCCATTTCATTGCTTGCCTGCATTATCCCGCTACGGAGCCCGAGTCGTTCCAGACTCGGGTCCGCGCCGCCCCTCACACGGACTATGGATGTTTGACTCTGTTGTTTAACGATTCTGGGGAGGGATTGCAAGTGCTTCGCAACACTGGCGAATATGAATACGTTCCACGAAAGGAAGATTGTGCTGTGCTGAATGGTAAGTCTTATTATTCATCCCTCTCTCAACATCAATGAAAGCGGGAGTTTGACACCAAATAAAAAAAAAAATTCAGTTGGAGATCTCCTCTCACGTTTCTTCAACGGTGTATTGCCCTCAACCATGCACCGGGTTGTGGAACCACCCGCCACGAGGAAAGGCGACCTCCAAGCTGAGGTACCGGATCGCTACTCCATTGCCTTCTTTGGCCACTTCAATCGCGACCTCCTGGTTAAGCCACTGGATGCCCTGGTCTCGGCCACAAACCCGGCCAAGTTCGAACCGGTTGTTGCGGGGGAGCACGTTAAGGAACGTGTGAAGCAGTTGCATGTTGCAGGCCATAGTCTCAAGGAAAAGGAGAAGGAGAAGTGCACGGAGAGCCGCGATGGTCAGATTGCTGTGGCGTGAATGGCTGCAAGTGCGTCTGTGTAAATAATTGTCCTCTTTTTTTTTTTCAATCCCAGTGATTTTCTGTAAGTGTTGAATGTGACGGCCTGGTCACATTGGCCGGCTGTCACATGAAGTGCGTTGTTTGCTTTATCAATGATTACAGCGTTACCTCTTTTCTTCCTTCATGTCAATTATTCTCGTCGATAGCTACCTAGGTAGAACACATGAGTTGATGTTCCATTATCCTAGCTGAGCCCGTGACATTGAACTTCTTGTTTAGCTACCTTTTATTATAAAAAAAAAAAATTGCACATAAAAATGATGCAGACAAAATGAAAAGAAAAGGCTGGAATAAAACAATAGGATAAGTGAATGTATTGAGGTCCATCTATCCATTCAATAAAGGAAAAGGAGCCAAGTAGTGGTTTTACACTATTTGCAATGAGATGTTGAATCATTAGGTTTACAAGAGTACCGGTCAATGCCAGATTTAACAAGACATAAAAATCGACTTTGCTCTGGGAACATACGCCAAAGAATTTTAAATGTCTGGGAAATGGATGGCATAGTTTTGTGAGGCGTTACAGTTTGCACAAAAGGGTCAGGAAGATCTACAGAGAAAATACTTCCCGTAATGGGGCACATGACGCAGAGCGCACGTGCTCGGAGGTGCTGCATAGCCCTACAAACAGGGGCATACGTAGACTGCAGACAAAACTGCTGGTCAGTAGTTCAGGCGAACTGCTCCAATGCGCAAAGAACAATAAAAAATCGAAGCTCGTTGGAGTCGCCAAACCCTGCGATGGCTTCAAGGCTCACCCGAAGATAATCCTTTGTGAAATTCGAAAAGAGAGATTTGAGTGACAACTGGGAAGTTTTGTTCAGGAGCCCGTCACCTGCGTTCTCCGCACCCGGTGGGCGCATGAAGGTGGAGAATGGATCGTTGTCGTTGGCGGCGGTGGCAGTCGGCGAGGAGAGTCCATCCATCTGCCTCGCTTTCTTCCACTCTTCTTCTGTGCGTGCGCCCCAGAGAGCGTGACTGCAGGGGAGAGGCATGTTCATGATCAGGTCGTCGTTGAGAGGCTCATAGTATGCCGATTGCCGCTTGGACTCGTGGTCACGATTGCTGAAAAAGTTGACAATATTTGCCAGGAAGATGGTGCGGCGGGCGGTTTCAGTGACGGCCCATTTGACCCAGGAAGCATTGTTGTTGGCTTCCACAGACGGCATGAGAGAGGCGTCATGCGTCTCCAGATACGACTGCGAGAAACACCGGGTCATCTTGGCAAGGAAGGGTGATTTGATGAGGCCTTTCGCGCGAGGTTTCTGTTTCCAACTATTAGATTCTTCAATGGGGGGAACACCGAGTTCGAGGATCTCGTATAGCAGCATGGCATGCAGGGCATCCCATTGTTCCATGCAGTGGTAGTTGGGCTAATGCCGTCACACAAAAAGACGTTAGTCTATATATAAGAGGCTGGTTATATAGGTTGATATTGCAGAGAGGGCTTACATATGCTTCGATTAAACTGTGCCTCTGAGCATTCATGGCGCGCTTGACATAATGAGCACCTTCCTTTGCAATCAATCCACTCCCACAGCAGATCGCCACGGACGTATGCGGCAAGACGGTCATGTCGGGCACCTCTTCGTTGAAGAGATTTCGATGCAGAAATGGGCAGTAGAAATCATCCTGCAGTAATAACATTGGATATCGCAGGAGCAGACGCATACAATTGGAGGGGCATGCTGCGGATATATTCGGAGTGAAGGTTAGGGGCGCCGCAGGGGAGGTTGTATTCCCCAACTCCCCGAGGCCCAATATGTCGGACATGCCGGACATGCCATGATATTGCGGTGCTATGCTCTCGCGGGTCATCTGTTGTGATGAGGTTAAAGGGGAGATGGGGTTAGAATAGGCGTTCGGAATGGCTGGCATGGAGTAGGCTACTTCATTGATTACGGTGGTCGAGGAGGATGGTAGCGAGGGTATATCAATCATGTCCATGAACCAGGGGAAACCATGCGAGCTCCAAAAGTCCATTTGATCTGTTGCAGATGTGGCTACTAGGCTGCGACCACTGGACGACGGCAGGGACTCGGTGGTAACGGCCGGGGCCTCGGGGGTCCGAGTAGGAGGGTCGTCAGCGGAATCGGTGTTGGTGTTGGTCGAGGATTCAGAAGAAGCGATAGTCACGTATTCGCAGCGGATGCCACGTTTAGCGCATCGAGAACAGGTTGGCTGGGTATAGCAGCATTTGGCTTTTGCTTGAACGCATGCATTACATGCTTTGCGGCGAGTTGTGAATTTGTTTGACTGCAGACAGCGCCGTCGATGGCGCATTAACAAGTCACCTGCACCATGTGAGCGAGTGAGTACTGTGGTTCAAGGCAGGGAGAAATACGCCGCCTGTAGGTCTTTAAACAAATTTCACATAGATGAGAATCACTGGCGTCTTCAGACATCATGATCATGTTATATTATCAGAATGGCCTTAACAAAGGTGATGCGAAATTGGGACGAGATTAAGATATTTGAAACATAGGAATGCAGGATAATAATGGTCAAAGATAGAGGAGACATTGAACATTTAGGATGGTGTGCTCGGCTCGTTCTCATATGAAATCTGCAAGGTAAACACAGCCGCAAAAAAAAGTACAGTAACTAGATAATAAAGACCAAGAGAGGCAAGGCAAACAGTTATCATTCTTTATGACTAATCCTGACTCGTAGCTTGAATCTAACGCACTAATCCTGACTCGTAACTTGAATCTAACGCAATCCACAAGCGAGCCGGCCACCTACCCCCCATCTATGGTATTTCAATGTATTTTACAGAGGTGTGCATATTAAGTCTTACTCGACGCTAGTAATTTTTTTGGTTATTGGCTGTAATATACGGTCAAGGTAAGTAATTTATATGATAGATCACTTGGCTGGCTGTATACAAGAGCTGCAGAAGAAAGCCATGTCTACCACTCCTAGCCAAAATGAAGCTATTGCTGCCCATAGAGAACCTCCTTGAGATGATTTAAAAGAGGGGGCCATCTCCTAGATCCTGACGCCTAGAGAGCTCTCCCTTTCGCATCTTCCCCTTCCACACCCTATTATCATGGCCCGTAGTCCCTTCCTTATATTCATTACCTCCCTCATGCTTAATAACCTCCTGGATATGGCGTACTAGGCGCTCTATCCACTGCTTAATATGCTCCTGAGGTAGCTCACTCCATCCATCAATCCATGCCTGTTTTCCAGTCTTCTTATCTCAGGGGGCGCCACGGGAGGTAGTTCGTCGCTTTAGCCATGGCCAGGCTGCTTCTATAGCATTTAGATCAGGGGAATTACCTAGCGGAAGAAGAAGAAGAAGAAGTTAGTACTCATCTAGAAGCAGCAACTGCTTATAGATACAACTGCTTATAGATAACCTACCAGGCCAGTTCATTATCTTCTGCACCCCAAAGATATTATAGGTCATTGTCACGGGCTCGGAATAGAAGATAATAACGAACTGAATTCCTATCTTGACTATTGTAGCCATCAACGAGAATATCGAATCTGGGAAGG